CTGTTGAGTACAGTTAATAACTGTATTTTTTTTTTCCCAGAACTGGGGATTGAACTGACCCTTGTGCTTGCCAGGCAAGCACATATTCTACTTAGCTATCTCCCCAGCCCCAATAGCTGTATTCTTTTTTTTTTTTTTTTTTTTTTTTTTTTTTGGCAGTGCCAGGGATTGAACTCAGGACGTTGCACTTGCCAGGCAAGCACTTGTTTTACTCAGCTATCTCCCTGGCCCCAATAGCTGTATTCTTGAAGATTGCAAAAAGGTAGATTTTAATTGTCCTCACCATAGGCAAAAAATGTACATGAGGTACTACGTTTGTTAATTAGCCTGATTTAGCCATTCCACAATATATGCACATTTATTTCAAAACACACATTGTGCATAATAAATATATGCAATTCTTATTTGTTAAGTAAGAACAAATAAAAACTAACCTAAGGGTTCCATCACAGAGCCATTCTAATGTTAGCAGAGCTATTAGATGGTTCCTCTGTACCCATTCCTCCGTGTTCCCATCTGGGCTGGGCGGGGTGGTGGTCTCACCACTGACCAGAAGTAACTGCACTGGAAAAAGACTTACCATTCAGAAAGCAGCAAAGAATACCAGAGACCTCTGTTCTGAAGAGTCTAGGCATGGCACTTCAAGGACCTGTGCACTACAGAAAATTGCGTATAAAATACTGTGCAAGTATGTGTTTTAGTTTTCAGTACCTTCTCCACGGGGTCTGTGACCCAAAACAGTCAAAACCGTTGGTGATTTCCCCCCTGGTACCAGGGATCCAATTCAGGACCTTGCACTTGCCAGGCAGTGCTCATGCTTCTGAGCTGTCCCCGGGCCCTTAGAACCACGGTTGAAATGAACTGGAAAAGCCAGTAGTCTTCCATGCAGTCTCGCAGAGCCTTGGGTTTTGGAAGGAATTCTCAGGTGTCATCGCAGCACGCTAAGTGAAGGGAGGCCACTGGTGGAGGAGATGCTGGCAGGCAGCCCGGAAGCCACCAGGCTGTCGGAAGGACAAGGGTCCTGGAGGGTGGCCTTGTGGGGAGGGGTGCAGCCTGCCTCCTCTTGGAGCTGCTCCCAGGCCCTAGGCTGGTGGGAATCTGGAGCGGGGGGCCTACGCATCCTGGTGGGGTGTAATTCTCCCATCAAGGCTGAAAAGGAATGAACTGGGGAGCTTCTTGAAGAGTGTCAGAAAGAATAAGACTGATAGAGTTTAGAAATAACGTTAGAATCTGAGAACGACGTTGCTGTTCCTGATGAACATTGGAAACTCAGTCCTAGGAAGCCATTAAAAACCTCCAGAGTTGGTTGGTTTGGCCTGGAGAAGATGGGATCAGAAACATAGAGCATCTGACCATATTAGGGAACAGGGCAAGGAAAAAGGACTCTGGGAGCCTGAAAATTAGTGTTCTCCTTACAGACCCTGGAGTTCCAGGTCCCGTCTGGGCCGAACCTGTGATTTCTGGAAGTGCATGTTTCCACCTGGCTCTTGGGCCATCAAATCAAGCCAGTTTGTGGGCTTAGTGCTTCAAGAAGGCGAACCAAGCAGCTCTCCATTCTCGAAAGGTTCCTGTAATGTAAATAGGAACGGCAATCTTTCCAAGTTATTACCCTGTTAACAGGTTGACAGATATGTGCAAATTGTGACTCACTGCTCAATTTGGCACTAAATTAATGTCTTTCCGCGCCGCGTCTGCTCAAGTGTAAACTAGTCACCACTGCTGTGTGAGTGCTTGTTTGCCTATATTCCAAAGGTAAAAATTAAAGTGATTTGATTCTGCCACAGAGCAGAGTGAGGCATATGGTGGCAGTGTGGGAGGAGAGCACGCCGTTCCCACCTGTCCTCAGCCCTGCTCTCGGAGCTGTGAGCTCTGCGCCTGCAGGCAGTGGAGCCCAGTGCTGCCAGCGACCCCCTCCCCCACCCCTGCCCCACCCTCAGCCAAAGAGAGGCCCCTTCTGCCTCCAGCTTTTTCATTCGTAGTTCCAAGCCTTCCTTATTTCTGTCAAGTCACTTGTGCTAGTTTCTGTCTTGAAGGCTGAGTCTATTTAAAAAATGAAGTGTTTTGATTTTTCCATCTTGAATCTAGACATTGTTTTCTTCTGCTAAAGCTACTGCTGTCATTCTCTCCTCTTTTTGGCAAAAACTACTGTCACCTGTAACAAAGAAGTTGCATTGCCTTTATGTTAGGCATGTGAATGGAAAAGTCTTAAAATGTGCTTTTGCCTAATAAAATCTTGGACTCAAGTCTGCTGAGCTTTATCTAAGATCACTGCTTGGGGGAAGCAAAGACAACAAAAGATCCACCCAGACTCCTCTGCTTTCCCGTGCCAACTGCAGCTATTTTTCCTAGGTTCTGTTTTTCTTCTGCCACTGCTTCCCTTTTGAATAAAACTCCAATAAATAAGGAATCTAGAAATGGCTGGGAACCTTTGTTCTGTGCCCACACAGGGTGCAGCCCTCCAGTTGGGTAGTTGGTGTGGAATTCCAGGAACCTGCACGCTGAGCTTGGTCTCTGGCTCTTGCGTGAACTGTTTTCCTAGCCTTCCCAAGAGACTAGTTTCCCAGGGTGGTTTGCAAGGCTTCAAGGTGAAAGGTGCAAGGGGGAGCAGATTATGATGTTACCTTTGCACTGAAGTGCTGCATATTCATTTGCTTTCTACTGTCTAGAGCTGTGCTGGCTATTGATCAAGGATCAGCTTGCAGTACATCACCTACCCCCTCTCATTAGCATACACTTAGCAGTGACCTCCATTCACTGACAGTAGATTTTTGCTTCCTGCTGAGTTGGAAGAAACTTGGTGTAAACCGCACGCATAGGGTTAAGAAAGAAGTTTATAGATGCAGAATGTTTCGGTGTAAAATTGGGGCATGAAGTTCTTTAAGGTGTCTCCCTCTGTTTCAGTAGACATCCGTGATGCAGAAGAGTGGAACTGATTTCCTTGCTTCTCCTGTTCACTTTGTTGGCGTGTTGAAGCTTAGATCCAAGGCTGCACGCAGTGAAGCTGTGACTCTAGGGGGAGGCCACCCACAGTGGTGTGTGATGTCTGGGGTGTTTCATCACCGCCTGGGAACCATTGTTCTCTAGACCATTGCCAGACAACAGGATGAGACCCTGCCTTTAAGAAACGCCTCCTGCTCTTCCTAAGCAGGTTCTCCTTTTGATGCCTTCTCTTCATGTCGTGGGCCTTTCAAGAGAGGGAACCCAGCCCTTGGTGCGGGGCCAATCTGTGGAAGTCGTGCTGTGGCCTGGGAGAATATCACTGTCCCTCTGTGGCGTCCTCCCGCCAGCACACAGTACCCTCAGGACCTCTGCAGCCTTCTGCTCTCTGCCTGCCTTGTCACCTCCAGGCTTCCTGGGGTTGTTCCGCTTTGCTCTTCAGCATCAGTTTGAAAATGGCACTTGACACTCACTAAGGAAAACCTAATGGGTTGATCTGCAGGATTATTTTCTGACTTTCATAGTGGATATGTTAGTGTTCACTTTTTGATAAATGGCATTATGTTGTCTGCTGTCGCTTATGAGCCATGGGTTTTGGAGTGAAATCTTTTCATGTTGTAAATGAAGAGCTTATCTGTTCCTTCCCCCAGAGAGAACAGCTATTACGCATCTCTGATTTAATGGCTGTATAATTTAATTTGTCATTGCCAATGGATACAAAATCCAATGCAAAGCCCTTAATAGATGGTTTTGCATCTTGGCTATTCTATGTCCCCTTTGTGTCCGGTGTGACTAGATGGTGATCGCGGATGATTTCGTTCTCCAGGGGCCTGAGCCAGACCCAGATGTGTTGTGCCGTCGTGTTGGCAGCTCGCAGGGGGCCTCCCACTGTGGGAGAGGCCTCGTCCTGCTGACACAGAGCACTTTTCAGAACAGTCCATGGTGTGTAGAACCACAGAGAAGAGCTGTGACCTTTAATTGCACTGGGCACATGCTAAGTGCTTGCTGTCAGCGGTCTCGGGATTGTTAGGAGATCCGAGTGCATGTGTGCCTGAAGAGCTCCATGTTGGAGGTATGAAAATGGAACTGGGAGCTTGCCTGGTAGGCTTCACTGTAGTGAGAGAGGTTTTAGAGTTAGAGTTTAGGAATAATGTAAGAGTTACATAGAAAACTAATTAGGTAAAAACTGAAGTAAAATAGATATTTAGAAAAACAGGAAGCTATGTAAGTAAATGAGTCATGAGCCCCTATGCAGTTCTGCTTTTAATCTTTTTGTTTTGTTTTGTTTTGGTGTGGGGTCTTGCTATGCAGCTCGGACTTGTAGTGATCCTGCTGTCTCAACCTTCCCAGCACTGAAATTACAGGCATGCACCAGCACCACCACACCCAGTTTTGGTACCTGGCAGAGTGCATGTGCCTGGGATTCTGGGCCTAATGAGGATCAAACTCAGGGCCCTGCACCTGCCAGGAAGGCACTCAGACCTTCCCAGCCCGGTTCTGCTTTTATGACTTCCAAGTAGAGATCTTGGAATCTAAACACAGTACTGTTATAAGCAAAAGTTTCCATATACTACAGTTTGAATTAAAATCAACTGGCAATGCAGGAATGACTCTGGGTGTATAAGAGAGAAGGAATTTTTAATCCAGGGAATTATGTACTCAGTGACTGATGATGCCCCCAGAGGTGAGACGCAGAGCCACAGCCTGTGCTGGTCTAGGTCAGAGGGTGGAGGTGGCGCTGCAGAGCCCAGGGACAAAGAATGTGACCCAGCTGCATTCTGGTCTCCTGTGGGAGTGGCTTGGTCCTGATTTATAACAAAAGTCTGAGAAGTAACATTCAAAATACTTTATTTAGAATATGGAAGGTAAATATCAGAAGAAATCACTAAAAAGTGGTCAGCTCTAAAAAGGCAAGGGGAGGAAGAAAGTGGTATGTTTTCATTAAAAGCCTTATAATACTGTTGGCTTTCATTAAAATGTATCACATTGGTAAGAAACTAGACTTGGAAGTGAAGCCACCGCTAGGGCTCCCTGTTCACTTGTTTGTTGCTTTTCCCGACTAGGTATGTTGACGACGTGATCAGCCGCATCGACAGAATGTTTCCTGAAATGTCCATCCACCTGTCCAGACCCAATGGGACGTCAGCAATGCTTCTGGTAGGAGCTCCTTGACCATTTGTGGGCATATGTGAAGAAAAATTGTCTTCCTAGTTAACTCCAGCCCTATGTGGTAGGATCTGTCAACTAGAGATTAAATTCTAGTATGATGGCAAATAGCATATTTTCTTTGCTGGAGTTCTGTAGGTTAAAAAAGTCTATACTTTGAAGCCTTGCTTTTGAACAGAATTGCAGACTCATGTGAGAACTAACCAGAGAGGAAAGACACGGTCTGACCTTCAGTCAGCTCATGTGCACCCCCATCGGGAGTGTTGCGTGAATCTGTTCTCAAAGGGATACATGAGACACAAGTGAAGCTCAGCTTCTCCTGCTAAAGAAACCACTCTCCTGAAACAGAGCCAGCGTCCGTGGAAGTCAGTCAGAAGAGCATCACACAAAGGAAGAAAGTGTTCTGAGTCACTAGTGCCCTGTGGTCTTGTTCTCTCTGATTTGGCCTTGTGCTGAGCAGCTTGGCCTCCCAAGCTCTTTAGTGATGTTTGTATTTTTATGAGTTCACCAAAGACAGTTATGTCTTGGAAATGTAGTAGACTGGAAATGCCCAGTACTGTGCTACTTTTCCACAAAATTGTTTCAACTAAAATATAGAGAAGACAACACAGTGTTCTTTCGAAAGAAAAATATAGTAGACTTTGAACACACTTATCCCATCATTCTTGGCACTTTCTGAAGCAGCTCTAGAAATTGTCTTTCATGAGTGTCTCAGTATCCTGAGACGTTTCCCTTTCGTGGTCATCTGACTTCGGGGAGGGCCAGGAGTCCCACAGTGCTACTCCAGTGAATGAGGACACACCGTCGTGTTGTTGTGAGCCTGCTTCTCCACTGGATAGTGCTGGGAAGCAACACTGACCCTGTTTTGATCATTCCTGGGAAAGACACTAAAAAGATTTCAAAGGGTCGGGGAGATAGTGGCTTAAGCACTGTCTGAGCACAACATCCTGAGTTCGATCCTGGATACAAAAAAAAGACTTCAAGAACTACTTCAGAAAGAGACAAGAGCAGTGCAATGTGTTAGAAGCAAGGGAGTGGGCTCTGAAGGGGTTAGTGGTGCCATATCTTTGACTGTCACGCATTTTGTAAAAATTTAGACCTTGCATATATTTTGATCACCCCCCTTCTTCCCCCAGTAGGCTCTGCCACCCAGAGCACTGGTGTGCACTCCCCTAATTTAGCGTTTCACTTGTGTAACTCCTTGGCGAGGCCTCGCCACCCGCATGGGCTACTGTGCGCTGCAGCCGTGCGTCCTAGCAGCACAGGCTGACTGTGTGCGCACTCGTGGTTATTTCCTCCTGGAGGAGATGTGAACTTGTTAAGTGTGCAGTCTTTCATTGGAGCAAAAAAGCACTGGTGGAAGCTCATCTAGGTACTGTGCAACTTTTCCACAAAATTGTTTCAACTAAAGTATAGAGAAGACAATAACACAGTGTTCTTTTGATAGAAGAAGAAAGCAGTTTTCTTTCTGTAAAATGTATCTGTCAGCACAACATGTGCTATTTCCTGCTTCCGTTAAATGTACAAATTGTCTATATGTTAACATTCTCCAGACCCCCAGTCTAAGCATAAATCATGCTTTCAGCATACTTGATAGGGACAAGAGAGTTAATGAAGATAAAAATGAAAGCGTCCTCAGTGAAATAGGTTTGTTCAAATTATTTCTGGGTCATTGGTCTTCCATTTCACGGTGAAGGTAGGAATCTACATTGAAGGGAGTGAGCGGAGTGAGTGGGACGGCAAGCAAACAGGCCGAGGCATTAGAGTTACTTCCTCCTGAGAAAGCAGGCTTCCAATTCACGGCACCTGACATCTCCAAGCTTTCCCGTGGAGTTTGTGTTCTAATAGGCTGATGAGGGAAATGGGGGTGGGCAGCCTTCAAGGAAAGGACCCACTTTACATTTGTAGTGCGTACCTCACAGTGGCTCCCGCGGATCTGTGTGTGTAGCTGGCTGATTCTTACCTGTCTTCAGAGGCACAGGCATTCACAGCCGGTGGCGCCTGTTCATAGGAGTAGAAGGGGGAGATTAGACCTGGAATCCCAGGTCCAGCCGGGTATCACACTTGGAATATAATTACTTTATTTGGCTTCTGCCTTTGAAAGTGGTATTTTATTAGGTCGTACGTTTCTAGGCAGTTTGCTGCTGCCACTCCAGGTCTTGTGAGGGGCATGGAGGGACATCCTCGCCTTGGGGGAATTGAGGTCCGACAGCTGCCACCTCCCTACCACCTCTGCTGGTCCCTGTGCCCAGACCGAGTGGGCACCTAGGCCATTGTCAGGGCAGGAGGTGTGGGCAAGGGTTGGAAGTGTTTCTGGAAACGAATCTGGAGCATAGTATACTCTGGACGGCACGGCGAGTGAGTGAGACTGGCACGAGAGGCCGCTGAGGGGGCTGCTGGAGCAGGACCAGTCACCAGGGCCTTCTCCCTGAGGTCTCCTGCTCTCTTTTTCCCTCCCTGGCTAAAGAAGCATAGTGTTTATGCCTTTTGCAGTTCTGGGGATCTAATTTGGGACCTTGCACTTGCCAGACAAACCACTTAGCCACTGAGCTATATCCCCAGCCCAGTGTTTGTGCTTTCTTTTTCTTTCTTTCTTTCTTTCTTTCTTTCTTTCTTTCTTTCTTTCTTTCTTTCTTTCTTTCTTTCTTTCTTTTTTTTTTTTCCAAAACCAGGGATTGAACTCAGGCCCTTGCGTTTGCCAGGCAAGCGCTTATTCTGCTGAGCTATCTCCCTGACCCTTGTGCTTTTAAGAAGGACAGCATTTCCCCTGGAAATAGGCTTCCTTACACGCAGCCTGCAGAAACCTGGCCTAAGTCACAGAAGCAAGGATAAGCCTGGCTTTTGTGGTTTCATAATGCCAGGTGCACTGCCACTGGGGATGGAAACTAGGGCAGCAACAGACATGGTACTGGACCACATCCTTTGCAGGCCCTGGGGCCTGAGTGATTTGTCTTCGAGAGGAGGGGAAGAGCATAGCAGTCTGCATGCAGTGTTAGGTAAAGGTCAGCTCATCTTGCTCGGACCTCCCAGGGACCCTCAGGTAAGTAGCCCTATCTGTCTTCATCGGACAGCGAGAAAGCAGGCCTCGTTCCTCTGGCTCCTGCAGCTGGGACCCAGCCCTGTAGCTTGTGTGGCAGCACAAGAGATTTGTACTGTGAGCCTGTGGGCTTAGGATTTTTGGTTTTGAACATTTTATATCATTTGAGTGATACAAAGGGATATATGGTATGTAAGTGTAAATCATAAACCAAAGGTAAACCCACGAGTGCACTGTGAGATTTGAGAAGCAGAAGAGAACCGGTGTATGCCTCTCCCCAGTCCCTGCCTTCCACCCGAGGTCACCTCCAACCTAGGACCCCCTCCCTTCTCCCTCCCAAAATGTGGTCTGCTACCTGTGCACCCATCACCGCGCTTAAGGAAAATAGTGCCTACTGTGTGCTGTGTATCTGCAGAGGTGGCCCCTGCAGTTGGTTGCGTCTGTTAGTTTGATCATCTTTGTTGCTGCCTAATGGTCCCCTCTGGACCCCACTTTATTCTTTCTTTTGTTGAGGGAGTTCTTTCCAGTTTCCTACTTAAAATATTGTCATAAGCATTCTCTCTCTCTCTCTCTCTCTCTCTCTCTCTCTCTCTCTCTCTCTGTCTCTGTCTCTGTCTCTGTCTCTGTCTCACACACACACATACCCACACACACACACCCCTGGCATTTTGGTTGGTTGGTTGGTTGGTTGCAGTCCTGGAGACTAAACTCATTGCTTTCGTATTAAGCTATATCCCACAACCTTTTAAAGAATGCTTTATTTTGAAACAGTGTTTCACGAGGCAGAGCTTAAATTTACAGTCCCCCCGCCTCAAGCCTCAGTCCAAGCCCTGGAGGCAGAGGCGTGTGGGCCCAAGCGTGGGCTGAGATGAAGGGAGTGAGCAGTGGGGACAGCTTTTTCCTAGGAGTCACCTGCATGGTGAAATAACAACGTGGCCCCCACCCAGGGACCCAGAAGTGGCTCCTGTCAACAGTCGTGTTCCCCAGTAGCAGCCCATGGATTTCATTGCTATTGTGAATCTCTCTGACGTGAGCATGAGAGTTGAGGGGTTCTCGAATTGGAACACAGAAAGCCGCTAAACTCCAGGCAGCCCATGGACAGAGGCCTGCGTCAAGCGTCTTCCCTCACCAGGTCCTCGCTGTGATAACCACTGCAGCTTGCAGGTGCAAGGCCATCTCCAGCAGGCTCTGTCACACAGAAGGGATGAGAAGAGCAGGGAGAAGTGACACTTTGGAGTTTCAGAAGTTGGTGGCTCACAGGAAGTCTGCCTAGCCTCTTGCTCTTGGTCAAGAATCACCGTCGGAAGCAGCATCACCCACCAGCCCGGAGGGGTGTTTGGCTCAGAAGCAGAAGTGCAAGTCTTTTCCCTCCAGGGACCAGCAGGATGTGGACACACTGGAGATGAGACCACGGAAAGGAGGGAAGGGAGGCCAGGCTCTCGCAGGTGCTCACCTGCCTCCTGATGGCTCACAGCACTGGCAGAAAGCAGAGCGCCATCCCAGGGCTACTCAGCAGAGACAGGGTAAGACGTCAGAACTAACTTGATCCTGAAACCGGCAGGACAGCTACTGGCTTACCGTCTGGTGTCTGCGAGCCTCAGGTAGTCCCTGCACACTCCGAATCCTGGCTGATATGACAGCTCAGCCTCGAGCCTCTTACGTAATCTTGAGCTGCTCCATGGCTCTCTGCTCCGTTTGGGGCCGTTCTGGTGTTGTGTAAGTTAATAACTCATCATATAATGAATCCTGCTTCTGTTCTTTGAACAGATGAGCTCAGTCATCCAAGAATAAATCTAGCTATGTTGATATTTAGTTTCAGTTCATCTACCGCCTAACATCCCATTATTAATTTTCTTCAAACAGTCAAAATATTGTAAGAGCTTAACTGAGTCAGAGACTGGAACAAGCTGCTGGCTTCTCTCAGCATTTAAAATATTAATCTCCAATTTTTGAC